ATATTCTCTTCGCCGAAAAAAAAAAAACTGTTCCGTTGAGTGGAAAGTGGAATATCATCGAATTTTTCTCTTCATTCAATGGAATTTCATTGATTCAAGGGAAAATTTCTCATATGGAAAATCGCTCAAAGTTGCGGAAAAATTCTATCATATTTTCCATTGGTTGAATTTCCATTGATTTAAGGGATTCTCCGTTAGTTCAATGGAAACAATTTCTGGGTGTTCGTATTACTATATTTTTCTCGTGATATCGAAACGTGCGCACAAAATCATACCAATTCAGTTAGAGAGTTCTGAAAAACAAAGGTGTTAAGAGAAAAGGTGTAAACTTTCGTATGCAATTCACAGTGCCTCATTGTGTGCGAATGGCGTTCACACACATACAATAAGTGTAGGACATTCACACACTTAGGTTTCTGGTGCTCTATTGACTTAAAATTTCTTTGTCATGACATTACTCCAGTAAAAAAGTAACTTAACACCTTTGTTTCTCAGCTTGAACTTTCACGCAGCCAATGAATACTAATTTTTCATTAAGCCATGATGGCGCATTCATTTGCGGTACGTTAATTAATGATCGCATTCATTCCTGGGCCCCGTTTAAAAACCAGCGCGACCCCCGCCAGCCCCTTCCCGCGATGGGGAGGGAGCCCTGCCAGCGGGGTCACTGAAAAGTATGAGCGGAGGGGCGTGCAAGTCCGCCAAGAGCTGTCTCATCACCAGTGAGACTCTTGGGGAGACTCGAGCTAGTCTCAGATTGCAGTGTGAATGTTTAATGGTCCGCGGTCCTCCGGTAATTGCCTCCTCCTTGTATGAGAGAAAGGGAGCGCCTTCTTTCCCCAATCCTGCACTGGTAAAACAAGTGTTTAATTTTGAACGTCAATTGACGTTTAAGTTCAAGTGTGCATTTTCTCGACACTTTGTGGTGTCTAACTAAGTTATACGTCAGTTGGTGTTTAAACTTTCGACACTTCCGAAACGTATAGCAGCTGCACACCGTATGGTTCCCTATTGACAGCATAGAACTGTGTGTGTCCAAGTGTGCAGAATTTAAACGTTTACAAAACGTCTAAAATTTGTACACCACGCAATAGTGCAACTTGAGTTAAACACCATGTAATGTGCTAAATCACAACTTGCACACGTTTGGTGTGCAAATATTGCACACTTGTTTTACCAGTGTGGCGTCGCTCAACACTTTCAGGGAGGCGTGATCACAATGTGGGCACGGTTGGCTTTGTTTTGTTGTGTACTTGGTTTTCTTTCTCAAAAGACACTATCACTACGCGACACCCTGACAAATGCAATTTTTGTCCCGCGTAAGGGCAGGCACCGCGGGGTGAGACCAGCCAGCTCAGAGAGGAACAAATGCGGTGATAGGAGGAAGAATCACTGAGTGAGTGGGTGGGTGGGTAATCGCTGGTGATAATGTGAGAGATGCAAGGGGCGGGGCGACCGTATCGGCTGTGTGGTCAACAGACATCTCCCCCCACCCCCTTCCGCCAGCAGCCACGCACCTCCACCATGCACGACGATACATGTGATTTGTGGCGACTCATACGTCAGTTGTACCTCTTAAAACGCTCAGTTACACTAGAAATCCAAGTGTTACAATGTCGCACACCTGCAGGTAAGTGAAGAAGATGCACACATCTGCAGGTGTGCGACCGAATTTTCACACACCCAGGCTGATGTCTGAATGACCATTTGCTCACTTGGGCACCGGGAGTTCGTAGATTAATCTCTATTCGCTCACCTGTGTGATTTCACATTCAAAATATTAATATTTTGTCGCATACCTATAGGTGTGAGAATTTTTCCACTCACCTGTAGGTGCACTACAAGTAAAGGAGTGATCTTTTTCGCTCCCAGGAGAGCGATATCAGTGAAGCCAATTTGACGACTCCTGGGAGAGCGATATTAATTACATCGCTCGTTTGCAATAACTTTTCGCGACATTTTTGGTTACGAATAAGACTAATTTTGAGTCATTTTCGCAAACGTCGCTCGTTTAGGGTCGTTTCTGCGACATTTTCTGTTACGAAGAAGACTCATGTTGAGTCATTTCGCAAAAATCGCTCTAACAGAGCGATGACGCCTATACGTCGCTCTATTCGGGAAAGAGTCACTCTTCGTTTTACAGTGTGACCGACATTTGTACACTTACAAGAGAAGGTTTTCCGGTGATACAGTCAGATTTCAAAGCCGCTTAAAAGATTGGTTGTTTGCACCCCTAGATAAGGTTTGGCACTGGTTTTAGCTGCCCGTAGGGTGTTTGGAGGTCATTTCAGGCGAATTTCATCAAAAAAAAATCCCAAATTCAGCCCTTTTTTGCCATCTTTCCATGCACATATCTCCGGAACCGTTTGAGCGACATCGCCCAGACTTTGCAAGTTATTATCTTTCAGTTAGTACTTTCCATGAAAAATATTTGAACCAAATCAATGGGGGTCACTAAAAGGGGTCCTAGGATCGCAACCTCCTCTCGGGGCCCGTTTTTGCGACCCTAATCGATTTCGTTCAAATTTTCTACAAGCAAAGAACGTGCTAAATTATGATTCCCGTCAAAATCTGGGCGCTGTAGCTCAAACTGTTCTTGAGATATGTGCTGTGCATGTAAAGTTGATAATCTTGGCGAACTTTGGCGAATTTTCAATCAAATTCACGTGAAACGACCTTCAAATGCCCTACGGGCAGCTAAAACCAATGCAAAACCTAATCTAGGGATGACAACAACAACACTTTGAAGCGCTATTGAAATCTGGCTGTCTCACCGGAAAACCTTCCCTTGTCAGATTTCCAGTCTTATCACAGGCGTCTCTAGCGAGGTTGGGGAAGATGTACCCCCTTTCCACCGCATAGCGGTATTTTTCATCGATCTGGATTTTTGTCACAGTAGTCTAACATCTACACGGTTTGAGTTGATTCAGAACTTAAGAGTTTCACACCATCAGAAGTGACACAGAAGGTTTCGATTACGAGGGCTACAATGTCGTGTTTCGTGCTATAAGTAAAGTAGAAGTTTTCTGTTGGCGAGAGAAAAGGATCGGTATTGATCACCTACTTTTACATAGAATAATAGAACATCGGAAACAAGTTTAGTCGAAATCCAGGAAGGTGTGTTTTCCGTGCGACATAAGGGGTCGTCCATGAAGTAAGTCCCGTTTTCTCGGATTCATTCGGTAAATTACTGGAGCTCGGCGCCTACGAGACTTAAGGTAGGCCATCCCGCAGTACACGTATGCACTGCACGCGAGACGTTGCCTACCCATCCGGCGCTATGAGAGACTGCATAGGCTGGTCTTGGCAGGTTCGCCAACGGCGCATGACGGATGAACTTTCTGGATGATCCTTATAGGACTCCCTTAACAAACAAGGACTTCGCTTAAAAACGACTAAAACGCGTTCAACAAGGAAAGGATAAGCGTTCAAACCCTTTTCTCGCTTCTAACATTTTCACATACATTCAGCACTTCTAGGACGCTCCAGAACTACAGCTCTCCCCGTTTACTCCGAAAGTTGCAATAGTGGACAATTTGACGGTAAAATTTCGCCGATTTCATAATCTCAGAGTCCGACAATTCGTTGGACTGAATCATTCCAGCCCAAAGTTCGATGATCAGTGAATCAAAAAGCTGGATTAGCGAAACGAATCCGGCACTTTCGAAAACCGGCAGTCTAGCTCAGGCAGCAGAGAGAGAGAGAGAGAGAGAGAGAGAGAGAGAGAGCTCACTTGCTCACTTCACGCATGAGTATACTATCTGTACGGAAAAAAATGCGTTGAGCAATGCGATCAATGTGCGAGAGATCATCAGAATAGCACTGTTCTTGGTAGCGAGATGCGTTATGTCTTTTCGCGGTTACGCGCCTTTAGCGAGCCGAAAACCGAGTTACAGAGCATCCCTACAGATCTACCATAAACTTCGTGGCTTTGACGCGTTTCAGGAGTACGGACCATTTTGTACGGATGTACGGAACAAAAATGCTTTTCTGATTACATGCATATTTTCCTAACAGTGAGTGTGGGTCCGGATACTGATTTGTGGATTTCGTCGGTACAGACTAAAGTCTGTGCGGCAGTGAATTGCCCGTGAGCACCCTTCAGGACATCGTCGCGTCAGGTGGATCCGTCCTTGACATTAAGAAACTGCTCTGATTGTTATTTCAATCACGAGGGCGAGTTTTTATCATTCGATGTTGCTATTATTTATATTAATTGATTTTATTGTTTGACAAAGGCTAAGTAGGTATTCTAGGTGTGCGGACTCGTACTGTAATATTCTTAGGAGTGCTACTACTCTTCAACATGTACTTGAATTTCAACTGCATGTTTCGACACCCAAAACCACGACAACATGTAAATTTAGACGATTTTTTTTACAACTTTTTAAATTTGTTTTTAATTATCGAATGTGACTTTTTGAAAAGTCGGAGAATGTGATTTCAGTGTCAACCGAATAGTTCTATTTCACACTGCTTAATCGTCCTTGACTTTCACACTCAACTGGCAGAAATGTAAATTGGCACGCCAGATGACACAAAGAGCCTCGTTCTGTCACACACACAGCCTCCCTGATAACCTAAACACACGACCCAGGTCAGCACACGTCTATTTTCTGCCTGGGCGTGCCGTCACTTGATCTAGTGTCACCAGCGGTCAGCAGCCCGCAGCCTAAAGTCACTCGACGCGCCGCCAGGTCGGAGGTCCGTCGGGAGGCGCCGCCTCTTGGGGCGTAGGCGGCCACAACAACAGATGACAGTTCTGACCTCCGCTCCGCTCCGCCCGCCCGCCCTAGCCCGCTCCGCCACAACACGGGGCCGTATGCCGCGCCCGCCCCAGCTGATTCATAACAGAAACCCGACACCGCGGCGCACCAGACCGGCCCTGTTCCAGACACGGGTTTGTCCGCGAAAGTCCTAACTGCAAAACGGCGCACGGGCGCGCCAGCACAAGGGCTGTCATGAGGTTTTTCCTCCTCCACTCGCTCATCCTGGCCTACCTTGGCAACTTGGAAGTTATCCGGTCGAAGTGTTTCCACAATCTCCTGGTCGGCTCGCGCCTGCTGGCTCACAGAGGACCGAAATCCGTCCAACACTCCTTTAAAAGTGAACTTCTTCATGTCGGGCGCGCGGGTGTCGCGATATCCATTTATATTTGCTCGCCGCGGTGGTGCCTGCCCCGTCACCACATCGCCTGCTGTCGCCTGCACAGCACACGGCCAGGCGCTGCTCGTCTGCTAGCAGCAGAGAGTACTGCAGCAGAGGGTTCTGGGTAAAACTCGGGGACTTCGGAACTGCCAACCTCTGCGCAGAGTCCCACTAGTGCCCTCCGGTGCGCACCTGCAGTGGCCACCCGGCCCCACGCATGCGCAGCCCGCCCTGCGAACAGTCGAGTAGACTATTGGCAGGAACTGCCAGGGCCTCGGGCGGGAAGCGGGAAGTCCTGGGACATCCGGTGAGGATGCTTACATGGACCTTTCTCAAGCATGGACCTAAGGACCAGCATGTGCTAGCTTTTCATTAATTGTTCACGACGCGACTGTAAGATTATTTTGGTCGTCGACCTATAGGACCTACTCGGGCAAGCAATAGAATGCGGACATGGAACTACGACTGAATAAATTAAGTTCATTTCATCTTAAGGGGATGTACAAGAAAAATCAAAATGTTACATCAAATGCACAGAGTAAGTATGATTCAACAAATAACAGTTCACATATGCCCTTGGCACAAAGAGGAGCGTCAGTCGGCTTGAAGTGGAAATATCCTCATTGCCTCATGAGGAATCACAAAAATGATTAGCTCCAATAAAAAAAGATTTGCTGTTTTCGATTCTTCAACTGCAAACCAAACCTGCAGTGGACATATAATCACTGAATTAGAATTAATCAAAGAGGAAAATGATGTCTGTATTGTCAAAAAGGATTCAATGATACAGGTACACGCTGACATCTCAAGTGTTTGACTGAAAAGTTTAACACTTGGAAGTGTTCAACTTGAGTGAAGCTGGGGGGTTTGCAAACTGCAAGTATGTGACATGGTGATACTTGCAGCAAGTGCTTGCCAGTTGAATACTTGAGATATCAGTGAGACAAGAGTAATACTCTCACCTAAGTAATCATCCATCAAGGTTCCTATGGCAAACTGGAATTGAAAAAGAAATCAGCATTGGTTCTTGTGACATAAAGATACAGAATAATAGACGAGACATGACAGATAGGTCCTTACGATTCCTGCAGCATCAACTCGTGTACCCACAATTTTCAATCTGATTTCATCATCTTGCTGAATGACAACATCCTAGAGCAAAGAAAAAAGACATTTAAAATCTTACATGAAAATTCTTTACGGGTATAGAAGAGCAAATGTACTAACTTCATCTTTAGATTTATAGCATGGAGGATTGGAGTTGGGGCTATACTGCATATCGGCGGGGATTGACTGTACCAAAGGACAACATAAATATTTGTTTTAGACCATAAGAACAAATATGTAACTTTGACAGATCACAACATCTAACTTACATGGTGTGAAATAAAACATGTTAGAGGACCGATCTCTGCAAACATGCCAACCTGGAAAAGGAGATAAGGGAACTGAGCTTAAAATCCTTTGTTAAGATTAACTAAATTTAAGAAGTGCAAATGCAAACATCAAGTACCTTGTTGACTTGAGTTACAACAGCATCTAAAACTTCACCTTTAAATGGCCTGAATACAATAGCTTTGTATTTTACCGGATAAACTACGAAACCTTGACCTGGTTGAATAATACCTGCACCTATATTATCAATGGTTGTCACAGCAATGACAAAACCATACCTGGCAAAGGAATGTTACCATTAATTAAAATAATGTACAAAGAGTAAATTTCAACAGTCATTTTAATAAATCATATGCACAAACACAATAGAGCAGGTTTTAGAATTGTTGGACATAGACATGAAATAAAAGCCCTGTCGACACTAGACAAAAATAGCCAAATCACAATTGATGCACAAGTTACTTACTTGCCCGTGCAAGTTCCTTCAACTTCCGTATACAATTTCTGTTTCACTGTGTCGAGGAGCTGAGGGCCAAAATATCGGGGATGGAGAAGAATCTCGTGTTCCAGTGATATCTGCAATAGTTCAAATACAAATCAAGCTACATAACCACACTTCCACACGGCCTGAAGAATGAGACCCTCACACCCAAACTGCACAATAGAGCGTTCAAACAATTAGACTTACGTGGTAGAACATTTTCACAACGTTTTGCGTGCCCCCTGAGTCAGAGCCGATTCAATCTGATACCTCACCGAATCCCGTTTGCCAGCAGAAAAACGACCGGCTGCCTTGGTCCTCCCGTCCCAAACAACAAACAACAACAAAAACAAACACAACCAGCTACCAGCTTCTCAGCCGTGTGCGAATAAGTGGATACTTCGGTATCAGCAGTCCATTTTATCTATTTAGTTTTCCATTTACAAAGGCAATTAGCAATTATTTTGGAGATGTCTTCAATTGTATGAAAAATGTCAAAAATTGAAGAAAATTTATAGTTTTAAGTGTTTTTTTGTTCATTCTTTTGTTAATTTTCACGTCTATCTCATAAATTTAGTTTTTCACCTTTGGTCATCCTGTTGTGTTTGCGTTGTGCGTTGACTGTTCGTCGTTGCCAATGTGTTAGGTTAGATGTACATGGAAAGTTCTTTTCTTTTGCACTAAATCACAAAAACCAACCTGTGTGCAGTGCCCGAAGTGAAATGGAGTCGATATTGGAGCAACAGCGCAGATACCATGAGGAGCGGGAAAGGTTGATGGACGCAATGGTGAGAGAAATGCTTCATAAGAAGAGTGGCCAGAGGGAACAGATAAACTCTGATCACCGGCTCAAGGGGCTTTTGGATAGATTCGCCGACAGCACGACTAATTTGAAGGAACTTTACGAGGACAAGGACAGTCTTCGCAAAGAAGAGGTGGCGTCCATGTCTGGACCCAATGAATTCACTGAATTTTATGCTCGACTGAAGTCTATCAAAGAGTTCTACCGCCGACACCCCGATGAGATCAGTGTACCAATGTCTGTAGAGTTTGAGGAAATAGGCAAACTTCGTGAAAATCCCGCGGAAGATACAAACATGACCGAGTTCACTGATGAAGAAGGATATGGCAAATACCTTGATCTTCATGAGTGCTATGAAAAGTACATCAATCTGAAAGGCATTGAGAAGGTTGATTACATAACGTACCTCATAACTTTTGATCAGCTTTATGATATTCCCAAAGATCGGAAGAATGCAGACTACCGAAAATACATACTGGACCTCCTGGACTATTTACATGGCTATGTTGAACGTGTAAAACCATTACTTGATGTCCATGGAGAAATGGAAAGTGTTATGAGAGATTTTCATCGTCAGTGGGATGCTGGTACATTTCCTGGGTGGCCTAAAGAAACTGGTAGTGTGCTCACAAACCAAGGTGCTCATTTGGATCTGTCTGCCTTCTCCTCCTGGGAAGAATTAGCATCTTTGGGTTTGGATCGCTTAAAGTCTGCGCTTCTTGCACTGGGGTTGAAGTGTGGTGGAACTTTAGAGGAACGGGCTCAACGACTCTTCAGCACCAAAGGAAAGGCAGAAATTGATCCTGCTCTCCTTGCAAAGAGCAAGCCAGGTCGTGGACGAGAGACCATGAAGCACAAGGACATTGCGGCTCTTGAAGCCCAGGTGTGTATCCATTTACCCTTCAGTAATAACTTTTTTGAATAAATATACAGTATGTGATTTTAATTCCTCTTGTTTCTTCCAGGTTTACAGATTTGCTGAGCTGTTGTCAGAACAAAGAAATGCAACTAAAGAAAATGTTCAGCGCAAACAGGCTCGCACAGAAGGTGAAAGGGATGATTCAGATGCTGAAGTTAGTGCATCGGATTCAGAAGAGGATGATGACTCTGAAGTACCATACAATCCTAAAAATTTGCCACTTGGATGGGATGGTAAACCTATTCCATACTGGTTATACAAACTTCATGGTCTTAATATAAGCTATAACTGTGAAATTTGTGGAAACTTCACATATAAAGGGCCCAAAGCATTCCAAAGACATTTTGCAGAATGGAGACATGCTCATGGAATGAGGTGTCTGGGCATTCCAAACACAGCTCATTTTGCAAATGTGACACAAATTGAAGATGCCTTAGCATTATGGGAGAAGATTAAAGATCAAAAAGAAACAGAACGATGGCAGCCTGAACAGGAGGAAGAATTTGAAGATTCTTTGGGGAATGTTGTCAACAAAAAAACTTACGAAGATTTGAAGAGACAAGGTCTTCTGTAGAGGTGTTTTTCTGCCTAGTTAAGCTAGACAATGTGTTTAATGACACAGGTATATGTGTAAGATTGGGCAATTGCTTGTGTAATAGAGAAGTGCATTAAAAATTAGGTTTGATAGTGATTTGTTGTCGGATAAGTTCATTTATTAAATAGTACCTTGAAGACAATTAATCAATGCTCTTCTGTAATGAAGAGACTCACACCTTGTTCAAAGTAAGGAACAAGATTTTAGCAATCAGTACAGGCACAGCCATGTAAGGCAACAAAAAGTATTTAAATAAAAAATTGTAAGTTTAAAATGAAAAAATCGCACTTACAGATGATTGAACGCATTAATTCCTGCTTGACCATCAATACAGCTATGTTTTTATGCTCAAAAAGACTATTTACTTATCTTTTACACAATATCAATTTAATGTAACTAAACAAATTGTGATGCATGGAGAAAAATATCTGTAAGAGGTAATTTCGAACAACTTGAAGTGTGCACATCTTGACACCTTTTTTTGTAATGCTGTTATGTTAAAACTTACAATACTCTTAAAATGCTTCATTGGTAACTTGAACATGTTTCATGTCTAATTTCAATGAACAGTATAATGGGCTTTGCAATGTACTGTAAAATAAAAAGTTGGGTGTAACAGCAAATTGTAGTACACTGGCCAGTACATAATACAACAAACAGGAAATATTAAAATTCTTACCAATAAACTCAGAGACAGGATCATTATCACCATCTCCTCTCATTGATCCTGTTATTTCTTCATTTTCAACCATGGGTAAGAAAAGCTGCACAAACTCATTGGTGTATGGAGGAGCGATTGCTTCAAGGACCTGAAATACAAGGTTGCAGAACTAAAACTGGTGGTAAATTATTTGAAGTACACATTGCATATTTAACAAATTTACCTCCATGACAAAGTATCTTATCAGAGAGATGTCTGTTTCTCCACTTATCCAACATTGTTTGATGTATTTCATAACTGGAACTACACAACCTCGACATAACAATGTAACCATTCTGTCCAGTAACATTTTTCGTAGTTCAAGCTGAGAGTAGTTGTAGAAATAATTTTAGCATTAGAAACTTTGCAAACTAAATGTGTACGATAAAATTTTAAAAACCTACCTGCACTAGAATTTCTAAAGCATCCTGCTTTGATTCAAATAATGTAATTAGGAGATTGAGGAGTCTTGGATGTAGAAGAGAATGGCATCCAGCTACTTCATCTAAGAGTGCTAAATGTGTTGGGGTTGATTCAACACAAAGTTGAAAATATGTTGGTTCCAGCACAGTAACTTCTACCCATCGGACCACACCAACTGACACAACTGGAACTCTGAAATTATCATAATTTTAGCTTTAGTTACAATTCAATTGTTGAGAGGTCTTCAAATGAAAACAATTCACACTCACTTAATGTAGTCATACAAGGTGCTTAATTCAGCAATCAACTCAGTAGAACCTTTGTTAGTGCTACAAATGGTGGACACCTTGTCAACAGCTTTTTCAGTTGCTTTCAGTTCCTCTTTGTTTACTAATTTACTACTTGCAACACCCTTTTTAGGCCATGTTTCACAAACACTTGATGCATAAGCCAATAGATAAACATACTTAGGCCTATGTTCCACATTTAGCTTTACACCAGGCTTGAATAGTGCATCCACCAGTAACTCTGAAATATGATAAGAACTTATCAATATAGTATGACTTGTTTTAGACGCCCATTGTAGAAATACTCACCTAGAAACTGAGGTGTTCTAATGAGATCAATAGGTGGGGGGTCAAGGGCAGAATAATTTCGAAAGAGAACAGAAATATCAGCAGGATTTAAGGCATTGCGAGATAGCATAGAAGTAAGGGCTTGGCAAGCCTGAGGATATCCCGCAGCACCGTTGAGTGCCATGGTAATAGGTGTCACATCGTGCTGGCTGAAAATAAATAAAAACAGTTAAACTTTCCTTCTTAAGGTAGAACAAGCCAAAATGCATTTTCAAATAATAAAAGTTAAAAATTGCAAGAAACAAACGATAATTACCTTTCTTGAGCACATTTTACAATTTCTTGTGATAATCGTTTAACAACAGCACCACCTCTTGTCTCCTGGGATAAAACAGCTAGAAGTACTTGGCTGTAAACGTAGGTGTGCTGACCATGGCAAACCATTTTCTGTTGGGGGATTCAAGTTTTGTGGGTTTATTTCAGTGCAGTATAGAAAACTACTGGAAGTAAAATTATTGATAACTCACAGCAACCTCTCGAACACTCTTGTTCCAGTCTTCAGGACCTTGAAGAAAGTTAGCAATTGCTGTTTTTAACACACGAGTAAAGACCTCAATTTGCTGGGCTGCTGTAGATATACTAGTGATTTCAGCTTGAAATCCAGCATCAGATATCAACTACAAGGAAACGTTGCGAAGAAATTGATTAGAAACATTCCCAGCTAATGATATTGGAGTCAAATAGATTAATTATAACGTGAGCAAGATCTCTGATACCTTGATGGTAAAGTTCAACATGAGGCAGTCAGGATATTCCTCTGCTAAACGGTATATCAATGATCTCCATGTAGGGTGTTCAATCATTTCTGTCAGCCAGGCTGGGGTCTATGAAAATGCGTTTAATATTGTAAGAGAATCAGACAAATTTTAAAATTTTAAATAAATAAAATAATAACAAAAATGTAAGAATAGAACACAAACTTACATCACCCTCTTCAGTGAAAATAGTGTCTGCCTTTTTGGGGTCAAAGTTTTTTAAGATCATTTCTTTTAAGTGGTTTTCAACCATTGCTTGAACTTCTGTCACTTTTACACCTTTCAAACCAAATATGTACCATGAATAAAAATCAGATCACTTTCATAAAAAGATTTCAAATAATATTAATACTCACCACCTAGAATAAGCCATTCAGCAACAAGATTTGCTGTTTGTGCTACTGCCTTGTAATTTTGAGACAGAAGTTCTATGACTTGTTCAGGATTTCCACCAGCTTGGAAATACCTTTAAAAAATGTGGGCATATATTTAGAATAGGATATTATATGTAGGGCACGCAGCGAGGGCTCAACTCAAAATTAATACCTCTTCAGCTGGGTAAATATTCCTGGTTCCATAATATAATCAGGAGTGCTAAATTTCTCCAAACATTCCCGAAGTACTTCTTGAGGATCACCAACGGCTTCCTCACCCCCATCCGACTATAAACAATACAGAGGATTACTTTCTTGTAATGGAATTTTAATTAAAAACATCAGAGAAAATCATAGCTATATATCTTATGCCTTACCTCCCCATCACCAACATCTTCTCCCCATCCCCGATCTTCATCATAATCATCATCCATGGTACTGAACTGCGAAAAAGATTCTAAATTTTAGAATACTAATGTTTGAAAATGTGCTTGAGAAGACCACTAGGCATGGAAATGAGACACGTGAATATGTCCAACCTTATCAAGTGAACAATAGAATCTTGTAAGTTTTGAGACAACCAAACACCAAGTGGGTTTGAAAGGAAAACAAACGTTAACCTCAACTTTATAACCGGTATATAGTAAGAAGAAAAACGTCCAAAACCCTTGTTTGAGATTAAATTTATTGTAATGAGGCATACGTACTTGAAAATTCACAACGGCGGGGAGAGTGGCATGGCCGACCAAAGAAAATATCCTAAATTTCCAGGTTTTGGTATTGAGGAAGAAGGAGTACGAATGTTTACTAGTTTACTTCACCTCCCCCCCCCCCCCCCCCCCCCCCCCGCTCCCTTTTACCCCGCGAGGTAGCATAAGACACTCGGGAGTGCTTCATTTCTTTCCTATCCTTCTGCTCATCTGCTTTTTGTTTTGGAGGAAAAAGTAAATCACTATTTTGGTGTTGTTGGTTATTTTTGCAAATCATCGCATTTGAGTACTGATACACCAACTACAGCGTTCTTTCCTGATGCAAGATGAAATATTCGTGATGCTATCCGTTTGCGAACATCTGGCCTCTTGGTCTAGGGGTATGATTCCTGCTTTGGGTGCAGGAGGTCCCGGGTTCAAATCCCGGAGGGGCCCTTTATTTTTGATACTCATATGTTCTTGAGGGAGTGAGGTTTTATTTATTAGGTCATTAGAATAATATTTTGTGTGAGGAATAAGAACAGAATAGAATAATAACTTTATTTCTTTACCACCTAGTATACCAGGATCCCCACTGGCAAATCAAATGAGATCAAGTGTTTACACATTTCTGTACACTCAGGTAAATGATGGGCAAAAAATCATGTCCTAATTGCAAAGTTTTTTGAACATGGCTATGTAAAGCTTATAAGCTATACTCTTCAAATTTTTGTCAACTGCGACTAAGAGCCAGGGACTGTTGAAGTTCTTTCAGCGCTCTTTCTCCGTTGACTACTAAATTTCTAATCGTTATCTGAAATTGCAAAAGTGGTTGGTTAGCAAAAGACTCATCAGACCTAGAACTGAAGGAATTCACAATTTATCATGACTAACATACTTCATCAGTCTCATGCCTGTGTTTGCGAAAATCAGTTTGTACCCATTCTCGCAATTGTTGACGGTCGGATGGAGATTCAACCTCTCTGATAGATCTTAGAAAACTACGATAAAGTTTTAAGACTTCTTGATGAAGCATAAACTGAAAAAAAAATAGTTAGAAACATTGTTTAGTTGAGGGGCAGATTTATCTGGATAATGGAAAGGGAGGGAGAAACAACACTGTTTACCTGCTTTAGAGACATAGCATTCCTAGGAATTTTTGAGGCCATAGTAAATCCAGCACCAAGCTATTGTGCTATTGTTGTTTCCAAGTGTGTCCTCGCTTCCCTCTTCATAAAATAATCATTTCCTATAACATCAAAGTCGCGACAAAGCCGAAGAGGATGTGAACATTTCTACTGAGAGGGCTGGTGGCTGGAGGAGTAGTCTGCTACGGGTCGTCTGCCACTGTATTCGCACGACTGCAGGCAGTGTAATTATTAGTAGTAGAGAGTACATTCAGTAACAGCAGAAGGGCAAAACATTCCAGAATGGAATTCACACGGTAATTCTCGTTATTACTGACCAAAAACTGTTGACACTGTATCAGACAGTGGTTCTGCGGCGTATTATAACTCCCGAAGTGATCCATCAAGGAATTGCACGGAAGAGCAAACTTGCGATAGGTTAGGTGACCAGACTCCTCTTCAGGCACCTTCAGAAATGTTTTCTTCGCGCAAGTTTTGTGGCAAGCTGACGACAGTTTGTTTTCGAGCCAATATGTCCTCTGGGAAGAACAACTTGGATCCAAGGACTGAAAAATTCAAAAAGCTTGTAACCCCATGGGAATATTGGGATGACACAAAACGTTCCCGAGGTTTCCAATTATTTGACATATCAAAGATTGGTTCTGCTGACATTCTAAAAATGTTACAGACTCCAATTGATCTTAGAACAGAGAAGATACGGTCCTGGTGGATGAGACGAAATCATGCAAGTCAAGTCAGAGACCAATCTTACGATGCTGACAGGCATGAAGCCTTAGGTGGTGATTTATCAGCCGGACATGCTGTCTTAGGCGTTGGTGGCAGCGTCCTCTACAGGGGAAAGCCGTGGATCTCAAAGATAAATAGTAACAATACCCTTGAACTGCCTACCCATTTTGAAGAGGGCTGGATCATGGAAGCTATTGACGTTTCTGACTGTTCCATTCATTTTGAAGGATTGTTTAATATTCAGAAATTAAATAATGTTCACTCTTTTGCTGCTAAGAATTGTTCATATTTTGATAATTGGTGTTTGGATCATATTTGTTCAGAGCTCCTTGCATTAAAAAAATTGGATTTATCCGGATGTACGCTTTTAACCCCTGGGGGATTATCAGCTTTAATACGCCTTCCTAATATTGAATCACTTAATTTGTCAAATATTCCTGCCTTCCAAACCAAAGAGGGTGCGTTAGCATGCCTTCTTCTAAATGACTACTTTCCCCAGTTAGAAGTACTGGGAGTGGTTGGTGCTATTGACCCCTCATCGGATGATACAGTGAATATTGATGGTGAATTGTCAAAAACTAGTGTATAATGTGTGTATTACATGTTTAATCTGCAGGGACTAATATATACAATTCCTAAAATAAGTCAATGTCTTTTTACTTTTCGAATGCCTGTAATATGAATGCATGAGGGTGTTGTAAGCATAGTTATCAACTCCAATGAATGGATATTTCCATTTATTGATCCTTTAAGGCACAGTGATAGGTAGTTGCAGCAATATGACAAGTCCAGCCAGCTGGGTGATCAATTAATTAACAGAACCAGACTGAAGCGTAACAAATTCTGAATCTGCTTAACATTGATTTAATGATCAGAATATCGCTGATCACCGTGCATTATATGGCTCCTCCACAAAAGTCTATTTTCAGTGAACTACAATAGTAGGTAGCAGTGGATTGAAATGAGATCTGTTTCAACAAATACATGAGCCATAATAAAAAAGAAACAATAATGAATGAGTCAACAACTAAAAGTCATTAGTGACAATCAAGGCACAAAACTAAACCTGATATTTTCTAAGACAAAGAAATGAGAACAAGTATCCATTTGAATATACCTACTAAATAAATCAAATCTCAGGTGTTCATTATCTAGCATCAGTGCCACACATCTGTGTTGCTGTCAAAATCTATATGAATCGCAGATTCTTACAATAAAACACTAAGTGCTCAACCAAAAATTGCCGATACCCCATGCCACATTTAACATTTCTATTTACAAATTGTTAATAATAATTACTTTTAAAAAAATCCTTAACCATCACATGGATTTTGACATATGCCATGGTCATCACAGACACAAAAGTACATTTCTGTACAATGGAGAACAGACGCAGGTGTTGGACCATAAACCAAGCATAACCACTCAAGAATATCTGTTTTGCAGAAAAATAATTAACTAGGAGCTACAGTTGAAATGCAAGCTATTAAATTAATTCACTGGTCTGTTAGTTCTTCGGAACAATATCTATCGGAGATTTAAAAAAAAAAAAAACAACTCTAAGGTTAAAAAAACTATTGTTTCTGCCCTCGAGAGAACAAAAATTTTGAGGTCACCCATACCTGCATAGTTTAAAGTGGCTTGTGGAATTGGCAGACTTCAGTGGATTACACATATTACTGCTATCTTAAAATAAGAGCAGTCAGTCTAGATAAGTAATAGTAACAAATTTTACAAGTTTCATCTATACATTAACATTGAACAATCAATCACTTTCTGGTAATATAACATAAAACAAGCTTTTTGCTACATTTATCCTCATGAGACAAATAACACTTTTATATATAACTCTTTTCTTTTAACATTGGTTCTCTTTTTTTAAATTTTCAATTAAAGATACCAGAGTGATATAACACTCAAAGGTATAGTAAACCAATTTATAATTCATATCATATTTATACATAAAAATTTGAAATAATTAAAACATGCAGATAAAATAAAATATACATATGATACAATAGGTCGTATTCATTTTCCTAGTGAAAAATGGAACAGCACTCTGACTTGAACAAAAACAGATCAGCAAGATTAAACCTTAAATATGTTAAATAACAAATGAAAATAATAACATTCACTTCTATCATTTTCTTCTCCCCAAAACATTAACATTACTGAAGTTAACCATTTTACAACAATTTAATACATGATGAACAACACAACAGGTGACACCAGCAAGAACAGCAGATATCATTACGATCATTGAGTAAACAAAACTACATAAATGGCAAGAATCCAACATGTTTACGTAACATTTCCAGCAAGTATCTCCCTTTTGTTTTCTTGAGGTTTTCAACAATAGCACCTCAGATTTTTAAAAACAATATTTCATAAGAAAAGACAAATTTCTGATACACATTGACATTGATCAAAAAAGTAGAATGTGCTCTTACATCACCCAAATTCTTGCATTTACTTATGTACACACACATCTTTTGGGAAGGAGTTAAGAGCATGAGCAAAATTAACGGAGATGACTATGAACAGGAAACAACATGCATAGTTTTGGAAAATTAATTATTTCAAATAGACAAAGAATTTAACATACATAATAGTAAAATTAATAAAAGAGTATGTTTCTTAAAACACAAACAAATAAATAAATATTTCATGATAAAAATAAGATTTTTCTAAAACAAGAAGGTACCATACTAGAATTTGACAGAAAAAATGGGAGGAAAAAGTCCAAAGGAAAGAACTGAATTGGCACCAGTCCATGTATTGCCACTGAAGGATTAAAACATAAAAACAACTTACTACTATGAAAGAACAAGTGGAGGGCAAATGTAAAACAGTCACTACTGTTGGTGTCGGGTGAATGCCCAGACCGATGTTGCCATGACAGCCCTTCGGGGGACACAGTGAGCTTGGTCCCGAGGCAGATAAAAATGGCCATCAAGCATTGTCAATTGATGAGTTTGTTTTGTTAGCTGCTTGAAGAGGCAGGGATAGTCAGAGAGGTGGATGAGTTGTTGATGTGATGAGGAGTTAGAGTGGAAGAACCTGTGAAAAGATTTCAGATAGTTGTTTAATGAGTTACCGCTGATGACACCAACCCAAAAAGATTATATAGTACATATTGCTTTTCCTTTAAAACCGACCAGGTGTAGTGCAGGTAGATTCTGAGCCGGAGGGTAATGGGCTGTTCAATGGCCCACCTGATGAGTTATTATGTGCCATAAGTTTCTGACGCACTTCACGAATTTTCAGTTGAAGACTGGTTTTATTTGGAAACAAGTCATTATGTTCAATCTGAAAATAAAATTAAGTTGAGTTTTGTTACTTGAAAAGAACATTGCTAAATGTTGACCACAAGTTAAGTCCAGTTAGCTTTACTTACTTGAAATGTACTAGTAGCAACAGTTGACGGGAAAAGGCCATGTTCATTGAAAAGTTGCATGACTAATTTACGTCTCTGTTCTAGGACTTTTCGATGTCCCTTTTCAGCATCCCTACCTCCAGGTGTTTTAGGTGAATTCCCCTCAACACCTTCATTGAGCTCAGTACCTAAAAATACAAGAGATAAAGATTTAGACAAATTTAAGGTCTACAACCACAAGGAGATAATTGGAATGCGATATACCTCTGTTAAAAGCCTCCGGGTTAAAATCTGGGCCAAAGAAAGTATTTCCAACGAGCTTCCCAGATTTTGGTGTTGGAGGAACAGACATGTCTGATTCTACAGTCTCTTCAACTGTAGTAGGTCTCTGGATTTTACGAAGGGTTTGAACAAACATTGGGCTGGATGTCACAGATATTGCACTAGGAGACTGACACTCTTCTGGTTTAAACTTTGGAAGTGACGAAAACTTTTCCTCAAAATTAACTTGTTCTAAGACCCTATCCATTCCATCTTCAAAGTTCTTCCGGAAGAAGTTTTTCTTGCAGGCTGGTGACGGAATAGCGGAGGATGGTGTGTTTATGACTGGTGATGAGTCTGTGGTACTTGTTTCCGTTGCAGATGTCACTTGATTATTACTAAATGAACTTTTGGGGAATTCACCATTCCCCTGAACACTTGAGCTTGATGACGTGACCACTGTAAAAAAGTTAACATTAAATTAACTTGAATAATTAGATTAAGTATCCAATTAAATAAAATTAAATAAAATAAAATAAAATAACAGAGATAATTTATTTTTTTACAAATTGTCTATTGTATGTACTCTACATGAAACAAGGAATGGGATTGAAAACCACTTACCCATAGATTGCCTCCTTTGCAAGGGAGCTTTACCCAATTGAGCTGGTGTGGGTGCAAGAACAAAAGTAGTTGTGTCCTGATTTGCACTAACTTCAGGGGCAGGATGAGAAGAGGGGTCTGCTAATTCGCTAGAATGATGACTTTCTGAGTGCTCCTAAACAATTGTAAATATACAGTCATCAATCATATGTAAAGAAACATGATGTCATCTCCTAAATGACACTACATACCAGATTGCTATTAGCAAAAATGACCTTATCTTGCTCTTCCTTAGTATCATTAGTCCTGTTAGTCCCTTCACCAGATTTTGAGCTATCTTCATTAGTAACTTGGAGAGTATTTCTATGAAGGACCTGCTGGTGTTGTTGAGGTAAGGGATGCAACTGTTGTAGTTGCTGTTGCTCTCGCTCCTCATTCAGATCTTTTCCCGCAATGTAGAACTGGCCTTGACGAAGTGAAGTACTTGACATAACTGAAGTTGTAGGTTGTAAACTCTTCTCTTGTTGAGCAACACTGCAAAACCAATGGTGGCTATAGAGACCCTTTTTACATCGATGGTGATGTGAGTTCATATTGTATAAAATATATTGTTCAAAGAAAAAGTCTCAATACAGTGGAAAATATACCTGGTAGTAATAAAACTTGACGTCAGAGCAGAAGAAGTAAAAGTTCCTGGTTTACTGACAATCACTGTAGGTGTCTCAACTGAGGAAGTCACAAGCTGGATTGATGAAGTTTGACGCCCATCTAAAAAGAACAAGAAGAAAAATTACTTCCACTTATGGGAGCAGAACATAATCATAACTAGAGCGAAACTCATTGCTTACCAGTAACAGGAATCTGGAAACTTGCTTGAGGGAACAAGGGAACTCTGGCTGTTATATATTGAACAGGTGAGTCCTGAGTCCCAGCTGGTCCTCTCAACACAATGTAAGATTGAGTGGTTCTTTCTGGATTACTCTGTAAAATTGTTTTCAGAGGAATTTGTTCATCAGTCAATTTGATGGCACTATTCAGAATTAAATCAATCTGCATGTTTTGAGTGTTGCTGCCATGGTTCTGAGGTTGTTGGATTGATTTGGACGATTGTGTCACTGCATCATTTGATTTAACAGCAACAGAATTATTTGTAGATGAGTTAGAATCCATATCCATCAGCTTTGAAGTAATATTAGGCTGCAATTTTTGTTTCAGCTGTTGATTTTGCCAAGCATCATTTGGACTGGAGGCAGGAACAATATTGACAGAGCAGACAGTGGTGATAGGAGCGGCGGAGCTGTCCCAAGCTACCACCGAGGAAGCAGGGACACTCGTCACAGTCCGCAACTGGGGAAAGAATCGAGAAGCCATGGGTCAGTGAGTATGAAGTGAGAAGAATATTTGAAAATCACAAACCTAGATTAGAGAAAGTAAAAAATTGTAAATGCTGAATATATGATTTTAAGAACAGAACAATACTAATCTAAAGGATGCAACTACAAACGAAGAAATCTTTAAAATGAAAGACAGGCATGAAAATATTAGAGGAAAGGGGTACTATTATAACCAACTATTTATAACCAAATCCTTATTTATGATGTGATTGACTATAATGATGAGGTTGATATACCTTTGACTATTTTTGTCAGAAAGTTTTTGAGGGAGTAATTCTTACCAAATTTACGTAAATATTATCTATACAGTATTTAAGAAAGACAAGAGGACTCTACCAACCTGTGTCTGAGTTTGGTTATTACTGGAAGAAAATGCTGATGATGTGGGAGATAAAACTGTGAAATTACTATCTTGCTCAACAGATGGTTTCACAACCTGTCATTGACACAAATAGAACAGTTAGAAAGTTACAAAGTTACAATTTTAGAAACAAATAACAAGTGCAACACAAGATACACATATTTCAAACATTTGAGTTAATCTTAAATCTTACTTTAGGGGACACTGGCATTGTCTTGAAAGCTCCACCTGTAGGCTGGAATCCAGTAACACCTCTTGGGTTGACTGGTGAATGGTAAGGGTAAGAAATACCTTCTGTTGTGCCTGACTTGTCACCATTCGATCCATGTAGCTTAGCAGTGACATCCATTCCACTTTGCGTAAGCCTGGAACATTACAAATTGAATTTAAATGTTGAATTTACAGCTAGGTAAAATGAAGAAAGAGGACATCAAAAAAGTTACACACCTAGCTTTGATAGGTTTTGGTCTGCACGCACTGGGGACATGTTTGACACCTGCCGCTCCAACAGTAACTCCCCCAACACCAGACACAGGACTAAACCTTTGCTGAGGAAACGCTTTATTTTCCAGAAGAGGTTCAACATCACTCTGAGACTCTGAATCAGAGTCAGTAACCTTTTCGGGGCATTTGAGATCTATTTCATTCGTAGGTTCTTCACAAATAACCTGTAATTATAGATAAGATTAGCCTAGCTGGAAATTTAATGTTTTCAAATTAAAGTACCAATGTACTGCATTTCTCCATGATTACCATTTGATCATCATCTGAAAAGTCAGCGTCATCTGCCTCAGCTTTCACTTCCTTCTTTAGCGCAACTGGATTTTCTGATCCCTAGAATCATTTCAGAAGGTTTAAAGTTCCTGAAATCACCAAAGATGAACACAGACAAGCTAACATTACGTGATGACACGGCAAAGTACCTCTGTAGTTTCTTCCTCCTTAGTAGGTTCAACAGCATCTGGACCAGGACTCGAGACAGAAGGTGGATGAGTGCCACTTTCACTCCCACCTTCAGATCCAGATCCTTTCTGACCAGGTTCACCTTTAAGAGAGCTTGTGGATGATTTCCGCCTATCTTTGCTGCACCACTTCCACTCTGGATGTGCCTTGAAATGAGCTTCTTTCACCTGTTCAATGAAAACAGTTGGTTCGACTTTGTCCACTTACATAAATATAAGATTGAAAATTATAAAACAAAAATGTCTTACTTCTGTAGCTAGCTCATGATACTTCTGTTTTTCCTCTACCCCAAGGGCATACCACCATTCACCCAGTATTTTGGATACAGTGCGATTGTCTTGATTGGGATGCCGTTGATGTACCATGGCTCTATGGCGTTTGCTAAATATCATGAAAGCATTCATGGGTCGCCGTATCCTTTCTTTGGTCTAAAATTTGTAATGATCTTATTAGTTTTTCATATCATGACTTTGATTATAAGATTATATTTACTTTTTAAAGGGATGAGAACATAAAAGTTTTAAAGTTTGGTCATAAATACCTTGTGAGGACTTTGAGGTTCCTTCCCACTCTGGATGGAACTTAATGATTGTGTTCTTCGTTTGTTACTGGCAGAAGCCACAACCCCATCTGAGTCTGCAGCTGGTGTTGTTGGCTCAGGCTCAAATACATCATCATCATCCTCTGTAGTAGGGATAAGATCGGCAGGCAAACCTTCAAGGTCTTCGCTTTCCCCCTGAATATTGTTTGGAGCCTGAACAAACAAGACAACAAAAATTGATTCAACTAGAGATAAAAAAGTAAATGACGCAAGTTAATTGCAGGTTAGAAACAAACATTTGAAGTGGCAGGTGCAGAGTAGGGTGGTGACAAAGAGGAGGTGGGTGGAGGAGAATGACCACTTGAAACATTACTGATGAGAGTGGCTTGCTTGATCAAGGGGAGAAGAGAGTCCCATGGGTAAACTGGTGCTTGTTGATCAGAAACATTAATTGCTGGAGAAAACAATCAATCAATTAAGCAGTTAGATAAAGTAATTTCAGAGCACTATCCAGATCAGAAACTATGATGAAGTGTACTTACCAAGAATGCCAGTATTTTTCTCCTTGGTATCCCTCTTTTGAGTAATCGGCAAGACCGGAAGCAGCTGCGTAGGATTGACAATAACTGGTTGAAGAATGTTCGATACATTAGACTGAGATGGTGCTTCCGTAATTAAGGCTAAACGTGGCTGAACAACTGAGCTTGATGCCAGAGTTATTGTTGGGTAATGTTGAGCAGACACCTGAGCATGGATTTGCACAGGCTCCGGTTCCGATTTTACAATAGTTGCAACAGTCTTTTCAGGCACACTACTATGATGAATGTGAGGGGATTCTTGATGACCTTGGTGGTTAGTTGGTTGGTGCTGGATGTGAATAAGTTGATGTTGTTGCTGCTGTTGTGAGTGATGATGTTGCTGCTGCTGCTGCTGCTGCTGCTGCTGTTGTTGTTGTTGCTGCTGATGCTGTTGTTGTTGTTGTTGCTGCTGCTGTTGCTGCTGCTGCTGCTGCTGCTGCTGCTGTTGTTGTTGCTGCTGATGCTGTTGTTGTTGTTGTTGCTGCTGCTGTTGCTGCTGCTGCTGCTGCTGCTGCTGCTGCTGCTGCTGCTGCTGCTGCTGCTGCTGTAGCTGTTGCTGCTGTTGCTGCTGTTGCTGCTGTTGCTGCTGTTGCTGCTGTAGCTGTTGCTGCTGTAGCTGTTGCTGCTGCTGCTGCTGCTGCTGCTGCTGTTGCTGCTGCTGAAGAACTGCCTGTTGGACCAGTATCTGGTGAGGCTTTGCAGTGCGAGCTTGCTGTTCAGCATCTGACGTGTGCTGAACAATTGCACTGGGCACGTCCACAGTTATAGTACCAACACTTGAGTTGGTAAGCGCCTGTTGAAGTATGACTCCTTGTTGAGAAATTGTTGTTATAGTGGAGCTAGCAGTGTAATGAGTTGGCACAGTTGATGCTGGAGCAACTGTTATTATAGGGGTCTCTGAGTACTGTTGTTCAGACTTCCACGCTATATGTGGACCACCTTTCACTGTACTCGGTGACATGCGTATCACACTTGTGGCTGCCGAAGACGGTTGAGATGTAACTGGTTGTGGTTGATGAACGATGGGCTGAGATGGACGGACAAGCTCCGGCCTGTAAGCAATTTAAGGTATTAGTGTTCAACAATTCAATCTAAGAACAGAATGATAATCAAATTATTGTGGGATTTACCTGACTAACTGCTGGGAATAAGTATTTCCCACAAAGTGTGGCTGTACAGGTGAACTCTGCTTCCACTTGTTACCTGAACCTCCAGGTGACACAAGACTACTTTGTCTTGGAGGCATTAGACTGTTACCACCACCTGCCATAGGTGAGCTGGCAACCCCAGATGCAGGACTGTTGATAGGCATGAAGACATTTGTGTGAGGTCCAACCGTTACAGGTGACTGTATGATACAAGGCGATGAGCCCTGCCCGGTTGGTGATGAGAAGGATGGAGTTGCAGAGCGAGAGCTACCAAGTGAAACTGGAGAAAGAATAAAAGAAATTGTTTTAGTGATTTTGATAATTAAGAGATGTTTCATACTTAAAAAAAAAATAAAAAATGTGAGGATAGGCAAATAAAAGTTACCAAGCATATTTGCAGCTTCTGTTTCATCAGATTCATATCTCCCAGCTATTCTAGAGTAGTTTGGTGAAGTATCAGAATCTCTTGATGTTTCCTCTCCATCAACACTACCCATTCCCCTACCCCTGAAAGTTACCACAAGTTATAGAAGAATTCCAATTAAAATTAATAACTTACACAAGGTAAATTTATAGAATTTAACAAACCTTGGTGCATTTGATGGACCTGGTCTCAAACTGTTGCCTTTAAGACTTAAATGTCTTGAGCAATAACCACGTCTCTGGCTTTCCTTTGTGCAGCTGTCTTTGGAGCACAGACGGCGCCATTGTTTACCATTAAACTTTTTCCTAATTCCACTTGGAGTTGAAACAACATCTCCTTTATTGTACTTGTGCGGTGTGGCTGCTTGCGATCTAAATTTATGGAATGTAAAAAAACATGGAGAATCAGAAATACATAAATATTTTTGTTGATTAGAAGAAGTGTAGAAAGTTTGTATACCTTGGAGTAGTAGGTTGAGATCTTGGAGTGATACTGCCTTGTTCTGCAAGACTGGAGGTGCTGCCTCGACTCTGCATACTACTCCTTTTACTACTACCCGACAATTTTCCACCATCAGCATCTGATGTGAAGAGGATATCCTCTCTCCTCAATTCATCGTCACTTTCTCCAAAGTCATCATAATGCCTTCTTCGCAAATCATCAACGGATCCATTAGATAAAGCAGTGCTTGAATGAATGCTTACAGAGGTAGCATTTTGCATTGGAGAGGTTGTGACACTTCTATAATATGAGTTTGGATCACTTTGATTCGGAACTATTGTGACAACTCCATGTTGCACAACATGTGTCCCATTATGACCATCAAATCCTCCATTGATAGAAGAGGAAGGGGGATCATCATTCATTTCATCCCACCATGGTGGTAGGAGAAGTCGAATGTCTGCACGTTTCACAACATGTTCTTTAGTGGGTTGTGATGTGGGAAGGCATCTGACTAAGAATCTCATTGGGTTGGTAAGTTTTTCACACACTATTGCTTCCACAAATACTCTAACTGCAGTATTACTATCAGATGTCCTCACACACACCCGCGTCCCTACACTGACTGAAGCAGCAGGGGGGCTGGCATCATTGATGATGCTGTATTTGCTTTCACCAAACACATCTCTATAACAAGTTCTATGCCCTTCTTCAAACTCAACAACAACATCAGAGCCTTCTGCATGTTTAATTACACCAGGCAAGTAAATATTATCCTTCTTTGCCAAGCAAGGGTTGTCCAGCCACTCTTGAAGATCAATGGTGTTTCTCTGATTAACTGAATGCTTAGTAAGTTCAGAATGGTCCATACTATTGTGCAGGACAATGGACTGATCCATGTAATGATCCGGCGGAATGTTAGTGTATTGTGCCTTTGGAGTTGAGCTGCTGAATCCCTGATGAGCTGAGTAATCCACTGCACTCGCTTGAGGGGGAACCACCAGCACAGTATGAAGGGGCTGCGAGGGCATTTCGCTTGAAATAGATTGAGGTGGAACTGGCTGAGTTGCTGTCACTAGCACAATTGGGGTAGGTGCCGCTGATACAGGGTGAACCTGAAAATAAGCACCTTAAAATAATAGGGAAATGGGAAAAAAACGGACAACAATTGTGAAAATTAGAACTAATTATGAAAATTTACCTGATTTTGGAAAGACTTCATCTCTGTAACAGGTTCATCTATCTCAGAGGGATCATACTTGCGCTTCTTTGGTAACTTGCGAACACTCATGGTTGAAGGACTGGGCTCTCTCTGTTGGTTGTTAACATAGGGTATTGAGTTGCTTGGAGTCTGATGTGTTGAAGACACCAGATGATAGATAGGTTGCTGCCCTTCCTCTCTCTGATGCATACTGATGTATTCTTCATTCATATCACCATTTTGATGCATACTGCTGATGTTGGTCAGGATATTAGCCTATAAAACAGCATGAGAAGAAAGGTTCAGCACACTCCACTGCAAAAACCAGATCTTAAAGACAATAAAAGACTTTTACCTGAGTATTTGACTGGGCAGCCACAGACGCAGTCATACCCTGTCCTGAGCTAGGATAAACTGTGACGGTTGGATATTGGATGTGAATTTCTCCACTGTGGTTTCCCAACTGATGCCCACCAAACTTTGGCATGGCGAAAAGATGACTGTATTTCTATTCAAGCATGAGGTCAAAGCCTCCCACACTTGATCAGGTGTCGGCATTAGACATTCAAAATATGACATCTAATTCCAGAAAACCTGAAAAGACACAAACAAAA